CTTAATTCTGGATTCCTGTGCTAACCATAATACTCAATCATATATCACTTCTAATCTGTCTTTCCCTCATCTGTTTCAATACAATATACATAATTTATCCAGTTTTTTCTGTCATACCCCCACCCTGATGTCAGACCCATTCTACAACAGTGGCACCATGCAGTATTTGTCCCTTTATGACTGAGATATTTGACTCAGCATAATGTCCTTCAGGGTCACCCACTTTGAATAATATTGCATGAGTTCCTTGTCTTTCAATGCTGCGTAGTATTCCATTGTGTGGGTATACCACAGTTTCTCTATCCATTCGTTTGTTGATGAAAGTTTGATTTTTAAATGTAAATTCATACATATTTTTTTGGTAGATTGTATTTGAATGATAACAGTTTAAAAATTTGTAGATAGGAAGAAAGAAACAGATTATAGCCAAATTTTGAGTGATTTTTCTCCTGATAATAGAATCACAAATAATATTCTTTTACTTTAAAAATAATTTTATGATTTTCAACTCTTTTAAAATGTACAAGTATAGTCTGATAAAGTCTCATTTTTTAAATATTGTTAACTGGTTCATAAAAAATTTCTGTGAAGTTTGATTTTAGATCTTTTTTTCTCTCAAAGATTTCCGACAAGGATGGTACCTTTCTACTTTCCTCCATCAAAATGTGCACTTTGGAACCAAACACCAATGGGAGATTTCACCTATCTACATCTTAATTACTACAGGTTTGTGGGTGTTTTGTTTTGTTTTCATATTCAACCAATACAAGGAGTCATAAAAGAATGTTTAAGACTAAGTTGCTTACTTTGATCAATTATTTAATTTTTAAAATTTCTTGGTTCACTTCTCTATATGCAATCATTCTGCCTCCCCTTAAATCTGTTTCCCGTTTTGAGAAATAATAGTCCATATTTAAAATATTCTGCAAATCTGATGTCTGAGTATTGTAGGAATCCAGAAGAGAAGAAACATAATAAAAACTGAGTTTTCATCATACATTGTAGAAAATGAGACAGTTGAATTGGTTTTGGTTGGATAAGCAATACTTAAACATAAAATATTATGGGTAGGGCTAGGGCCAGGGCCTTGAAAGAAAAATGTAGACATTTAGGTTTAAAGCAGTAGTAAATAGAGTTCCAATCAGATGTTGGATATAAGGGAGTACAGTACCTGTTAAAAGTAGTATTTGAAAGATTGATTATAGCAGAAAAGCCTCAAGTCAGCCCAGCTGTGAAATGGTTTTCATAATCTAATCAACAGTATCATTCTGGTGATTCTACCTCTTCTTATTTTTGTAGCCTAGGGAAAGTTGCTAAAGATGTTTCCGTTTAGAAAATGGAAATTTCATAGTATGCTTCTAAGTATTAAATAGGACTGGCTACCAAGAAATCAATATGGTGCCTGGAATTTAGACAGTGTTTGATAAATGGTAGTAATTAAAAGGTTTAAACCCTGTTAGCAGTATTAAGATCAAGGGGAAAGAACAAAAGAGTAGGGATTTTTTGGGGTGTGTGTGTGTGTGTGT